GTAACATTTAAATATACAACCTTATGTACGGTAACATTTAAATATAGAACCTTGCGTACGGTAACATTTAAATATACAACCTTATGTACGGTAACATTTAAATATAGAACCTTGCGTACGGTAACATTTAAATATAGAACCTTGTGTACAGTATAAGGTTCTTTATTTAAATGTTACTGTACATATGGTTCTATATTCAAATGTTACTGTACATATGGTTCTATATTCAAATGTTACTGTACATAAGGTTCTATATTTAAGTGTTACCGTACATAACAAAAACTGTAGTGGACAGATGCTATTTCTTGTCACATTAAAATTATGCTGGTTGGTCACAGAAAAGCTGATAAAATGGATGAACCAAGAAGTTGTTTTATTGTGTATGTATGTAACTGGTTTTAAAAAGGATTTTTCTAGGCTAATGAAAAAAACGTATTCATGTGTGAAAAGTTGATGATACTATTAGATATTGTGAATTAACTTTAGAAAATGATGGTCGTAATGGGTTTTTTTTGCATATTGATTTATTTCTCTACATTTCCAGGGAAAATGACATTAGTGATGTGTTGGACACAACATTTTCTGTGGAGCACGATTCTTTCGGTCAGCTTCAGGTTCATGAACTGAAACCAAATGGAAAGAACATAACTGTAACTGATGACAACAAAAAAGAATATGTCAGGTGAGAACTGGTTTTATTCTGACTTTTAAGATATTACTGGACTCTCTGATCTGACTGTTGGAGTTTAAGCATTACTGGTATTTTAGTTTTTGAAGAACAAAAATGTGTTTATGAGTGATTTGGATTTGTGTGAGCATTTGTTGTCAAAGGTTAATTTAAACTCAATTCAGCTGTTTCACATTTTAATGGGACTGCAATAACAGAAAACATGCTCGGGTCTTTGGTTGCAAGCAATGAAATATTTGTGTTTATATTTATCCTGTATTGTTTTTAATCCATATTAACACATTAGTCTCATGTCAGTTGTGGAAAAAAATTTGGAAAATCTGTTAAAAGATGCTTTGCAACGTATTTAACAAAGTTTAGAATTTTATTGGATAGTCAACATGGTTTGACTAAGGGAAAATCGTGCCTTACAAATCTTTTAACATTCTTTGAAAAGGTTACTGTTTATGTAGATGACGGTGTAGATTTGGTGTATCTGGATTTTCAGAAAGCATTTGACAAGATGCCACATAAAAGACTTGTAAAAACAAATTAGCTCTATAGATGTGGGGGATAAGTTAGCAAATTAGATAGAAGAGTGGCTGGATGGAAGAAATCAGGGGTTTGTTACAAATGGAGTTCAGTCAAACTGGATTAATGTCATAAGTGGGATACCTCAGGGCTCAGTCTTAGGACTTTTGCTCTTTTTGATTTACATCAATGACATAGATGAAGGAATAGTCAATTAATTACTTAAATTTGCAGATTATGTAGGTCTTGGATGTTGCTAGTTGTGAAGAGGATGCTGCTGATTTACAAAAGGATTTATATTAATTA